CGCCCGCCCCTCCCGGGGGTCGCGGGGAGGCCGGTGGGAAATCAGCCCCTCCGGTGGTGGGTTTGCGGTGCTGTGCTGGCTGAGGGGAGCGGGGAGGGGCTGCGGGGGCTTAACCCCCCGCGACAGAACTTCCCTCGGGCAGCTCTGCCCCCGGCTGCCCTGGGAGATGCTGAGACCGACCAGACCCGTCAGTGCAGAGCGCTGGGTTTGCGGGGAGGGAGCGCCCAGGGGGGCAGAAAAGCAGCGCTTTGCGGCGTCATTTCGGAGCTGTCACTGAAACGCGCGGCCCCGGGTGGTTTATGGCATCGTTGTTGGCAAAGGTTGGCTGCTGTCGAGGAGTTAAAGTGCTCTTCTTGTGCCGACTGCTACGCTGATGGCACAAAGATGTCACGGTTCATTTAGCATTTCCTCGTACGGCCCCAGAACATCCAAATGTTCAGAATCGTCGTGAGTAGGCAACAGACAAGACTGAAATGTCCTTGCTCCTCCAAATCTTCCTGATAAAGGATTTGGGAGCTGTCTCTTACCTCTTTCTCACACCATTTTCTTACCTAGGCGTGTTTTCTGTTTACAAGCCTGAAGATGGCTGCTGCCTCCTCCTGCAGCGTGGAAGAGGATGAAAGCCTGAAGGGATGTGAACTCTATGTCCAGAAGCACAACATCCAACAGATTTTAAAAGAGTGCATTGTAAACCTTTGCATAGCAAAGCCAGACCGACCCATGAAGTTCCTCAGAGAACACTTTGAAAAATTAGAAAAGGTCAGTGATTTTCAGGTGACTTATAATTTTTCATTTAAGGCTGAAAAAGATGGTCTAAAAGGTTTCAAATAGTTTGGTGTATTTTTTCTTTTAAATTCTCAGGCTACAGGTGAAAGCCAGGTTATCACAGAATCATATTAGAAGAATAAACCCCAACCCTTTGTTCACTGGTGTCTACTATAATAACAGCTATTGGATAGGATTTTTTGGGAGTGTAACACCAAGATTATCATTTCTCATCAGGCTGCACTCCTTAAAAGTGTCAGGAGCATCCTTTGTGTTATGATAGGTAGTGTCCTGAACGCTTCTCATCTGTGGGAAGAGCCTGCCTGCCAGAGCAAGAGAGGTTATTCTTGTTTATTTCCTGTGCCTGGTGAAACAAACAAAGTCAGTTTGTTACTTTGAAACTGAACAAAATCAGGGAACCAGCAAGTTCTGAAAAATCATTGAACAGTCTGCTGTTTGATTTTACTGCCCTTGCCTCTCTGCATTGCTTATCCCAGGATCCCCCACCAAGAGAGGCATTCAGAGAGACTTCATATCCTGTGACTGTCTTCAGAGACAGAAACATTTAAAACATGATCAGAAAAATTCTTGCTAAAGCCTATGGGTGTCTTTTGCAGGAATAGCATGTTGTGTGAGCAAAGCTTTTCCCTGGGGATGGTATTTCTCCAGAAATAAATGGAACCACAAGTTTGCAAATCGCTGGTTACACAGGTCCTCCCTCTGCCAGAGCCTTTAGTCATATACTTAGTTTAAGAAGAGGATTATTGCCCATTTTTGAAGGAAATATCTAAAGTTGATAGGCTTAAGATACGAGTTTTATGTACTTTTTTTCCTTCTAGAGATGGAATTTTGTAAGGACAGAGCAATAAATAGTAATAATAACTAGTGAATAATACATAGAGATAATATACTACAGGTGATACAAGGATTTAATACTTCTCCTTGTCTGCTTTTTAGATAAATGTCTGTATAGGTGGGTATATGCCACATTTGTGTAGCTTGAAAAGATGCAAACATTGCACTTTAGTGGGACCTCAGTAAGAATTCCCAGAACACCAGGAAGAGATGGACTTTACAAGGTGATTTTAAATTGTATTGCCTGTTATTAAAAAACACAAAGTCTCTAAATTCTGCATATTCCAATCTCTGAGAACAAAGACCCAATTGAAGAGATCAAAATCTGTTGCATTTCCTTTGTTGTGTTATGAATTGTTATCCATCTTAATGTGTGCAATTCTGGACTTTCTGTTTAGAAGAATAAACATCATTTTTTAAAAAAAAAAAAAAAAAAAGAAAGATGTTAATATATACTGTATTATTTTAGAACATTCTTTATAGCTAGTGGGATTACTTGTGCAGTTGTACTGGGGGAGTTTGGCTTTATTGATCTAAACAGAGCACACAGAATTGAGCCAGGAAGGCAGTTCCTACCCTTGAGAAATTATATATTCTTTCATGTAGTCTCCTGTCCAGCAGAGATCAGAATCTGGAGCAAGATGTTGAGCTGATGGATATTGCTTGTCACAAAAAGAAAGGAGATGATTTAGAAACAAACACTCCCAAGGTATCACATTCAGTGAATATCATGCTCAGTATGGGAGGCACCAATCTTGCCACTGACTCTGTAGAGCAGCCTGGGAGCTAAGCCTGCTGAGCCTAAAGGCTTTAGGATGCTGCCAGAGGTTTCCAGCATTGCAATTCTTGTTCCTACAGCAGTTTAACTTCCTTGCCCAGCCACTTCCTTGAGATGATCTGCACTGCGGAGGATTTCCTGCAGTAGGATAATATTTTGACTTGGTCAGTTGCATAATCACAGTTGAAAGAAGGCTTGTAAACACAGACACTTCATTTCAATACATTTTAGCTTGTTTTTAGAAGACACTTGTTATATACAGGAACTCTGAAGAATCTTAATTTAGTTGTGAATGTAGCAATTACTTGTTACAGATCTTTGCATGTGAGTGAGCAATACACAGATCTGTCATGTTTGCTATTTGCTACTTTATTTTTGGTCCTGTGTAGGGAGAAGAGTGAAAATCTTTGGGTTTAAGCACGATTTTCTAAACAAAGTAATGCGTTTTTCCACCAAAGTGGGGTATTTTGGGTTTATTTTCCAAACTCATTAAAACAGACAACATGTTCCACTGAAGAGAGCAGTACAATAACAGTGGATCTGTCAAAAAAATCATGTGGGCAGTTTAAGAGATGAAGTGTAGGATATTTTTCAAGTGGTTAAAAAAGGACCTTGTGGAAAACTTGTAGAGCTTGATCCACATCAGTGCACTGGAGCTACCTCAGAAATACAAAAGTTTATTTCATTTTGCTAGTTCTTAACTGGATCTCATAAAATTGACTCAGAAAAGCAAGATTTATTGTCATATGAAAGATCAAACCAGATCATAAATGCTTTTCACCTTCCTTCTGATGACATCAGAGAAAGGTCCATTGCCTTCAGCCTACATCTGTAGTGCTACATGAAACAGGGCCAGGGACTAAACCCCTGACCCCACGACACTGATGGGTCCCACATATAATTCTTAGGTCTAGCACATCTAGAAGCAGGTTTGTTTTGGCAGGAGTCAGTGCGAGCAGCTCAGAACAGAGCCAGGGAATGAGCTAATAATTGAGGGATGTGGACTGTCTTGGGCAGTTCAGGTCCATGTCTGGGCCATTTTTTGATTTCACAGTATAAACATGGCCAGAGAGGGCTATAAAGTGAGAACATGAATAAATACTTGTGGATAAAGTGCTAGAGACTGAGGGTTGAAGTTTCATGCTGCGGGCCTTGCTTTCAGCTGGAGAAGTGCCGAGGTTAGAGAGAAACACCTGATGCCTTTTTTAAGTCTGCAGCTTATTTGTATCAAGTACAATAGTAAAAAACATAACTTGGAAAATAATTACAGGAGAACTTTAATATTTTTCTGTTCACTTAATAACATGAGGGTCTGCTTGTCTTGAGATGCCAGTGATTGCTGGGAACCAGCCAGGTTTCTGTATTCTGAAGTTTGCAAGTCAGTTTTCATGTGCTGAGACCTACGAAGTTCAAGATGACATCTACTCTGGTCACATTAACAGCTACTTCATAAAAATCCCTAACATTCCATTGAGCACAGAAAAGAGCTGAAAACAGTTTAGATACCTGAGATTTAAAAAAAAGGTAAAAATAAATGTAATGTTTTCTTTTGAATAATTTGTTTTACATGTCCTTGTGGCTGTACAGAAGTTCTTGCTGGTGGATGGGGTGAGAAAACCTTTCCCTTAGGGGTATTAATTGGCTTTTTTGGAGTGATGTAATAGATGTTAGCTAAGAAACTGTGGCATTATTTTAACAGCTGTAATTAGGTCCTGTTTACTTGAGGACATAGCAGAGAAAACAAGGAACCCATCTTTTATCTCCTGTTCTTACCCTATGTAAAAAAGTTAATTACTAAGATGTTGCAGTCAAAGCCTTGTATTTTCAGCTATACTGAGGCTGGGAGAAACTTTCATTAGTGTCAGACTGTTTAGTGCTGTGATTATATGATCAAAGATGGAGTTGTTTTGGCCAGGCTAAGCTAGACTGTTGTTCAGCAGAAAAAAAAAGTATAATGAGGACTAGAACTAATGAAGCAAATGGCACAAAAGAAGGAGAAGCAGCAGGAACCTGCAGGATATGTTCAGGCATAACCAAGTACTTGGCTGAAGCCATTTTGCATGCAGTGTATTTCAGAGCAGTGGCTTTGCTGGCTGAGCCAGGTGGCCTTTGCTGATAACCTTCTGGACCTGAGCTCTCTCCTGATTCCTTCTCTTGCCCTATGCACACAGAAGAACTAGTCTTGCACATCATACTGAACTGACTGTCCCAGATTGCTGTGGATTTATGGGCTCAGGTGATGCTGCATATCTTAAGGTACCATCCAAAAAGAGAGTTTAAAAAAGCTTGGGCTCTTTCGTCAGTAATTAATTAAAGGGAAATGAGATTATCTGCGAAGCTCCACCTGGTGACACTGGGCAGTATTGCACACTGACCTGCTCAGGAGAATAAAGGCATCTGGGTGACAGGTTTGCTATAAACTAGCACTGAAAAGCAAATGTATACTAAACTACAAATTCATTCACTGTTAGTAAAATACAGTTTATTTATTTATCATAAAGAGTTTCATAACCAAAGGTATTTGAGCATCAAAATTTGAGCATCAGGTTTTTCTTCTGCAACTGTTGTCTTTCCCAGTATTTACATTTTGTCACAATCATTAATTTTTCAATGAATACTTTCTACCAGAACTTGGCCAAGCGAATGAAATTCATTCTTATAAGTACAGGTGATTATACTAAGTATAACTCATTCCTTTAGGATAAGCTGTGGGGAGGTTTTGGCTTGGAAGGAAAATCCTATGGAGGAAAAACTATTGAAATAATGCATTAACTAAGCAATTTGATAAAGACTAATATGACAAATATTTCTATATCTTCCAAACTTTGCAAAGCAGTTGGGCAATATCTGCTTGGTGGTCAGAAATGTTGCTAAAGCATTTGGGAACATGCCTGAGCTACCTGAGATGCTGAGAGCAACACCACGCTGGGAGCATTGGGTGCCCTTACTGTGTGACTGCAGTTCTGAGTGGGCTTGGGCAGCCCCCATTCCCCCCTCTCCTCGTTCCAGTACTGGAGAGATCTGGGTGAAAATCAGCTCAGCTTGGGCCTCTTTGATTGGTGTAGTCAGTCACAGGCAGTGTTATGAGAGGTGACAATTTTCTTGGAACAGGTGAAGAAAAAGCTCGGTGGATTTTTAAGACCCTTCAGACAAGCTTTCCTAAGCACAGGAGGTTTAGGGAAAGGAGGAGCATAAAGGGGAAAAGAGAAGAAAGAGAAAAAAGCTTTTTCCTAAGAAATGCAATGGGTTATAAGTGAAGCTGTGCTCTTATGAGCTTTGTGCAGCACATGTTAGAGCATTGCTGAGCTCCCTGTTTACTTTGTGTGTCTACAACTGTGAGTAGCTTCCCCAGTCTCAAACT